TTATTTGCTGCATTTTTAAAACACGTTTCATATTTATGACTGGCATAATTCAAATTTACAATATGTTTGGTATTATGTTGCCAAAAATAGTTGATAAATATAAAATATTTCCTTGGCATATTCATATCAGACACAATGGCAATTTGATAGGGGCACTAGGGCTTTCCCCTAAAAACGAAGAACAAGTACTTTGTAAATACAAATATTTGGAATATGATTCTTCTGAAAAAACTAGCAAAGGCTGCATACGTTCAAAAAATGAGGGTCATGTGAAATATATCGATATCTTTAAAAAAAACTTTTTTGTGAAAAGTTCGAAATCAGATACTGTTCATTTAAGTTTCGATGGCTGCAACGATATATTACCGCACTACCATATGGAACAGTTAGCGAAACTTTAGGGGGTATTCTGGTCCAGAAATTTGATATCTCTCTAAAAGGCTTTATTAAAATTCGAATTATTTCCGAAGTTATATCCGTTTTAGTGTCGTGACAACTGAACCGGTTTAGCGGACGACAAAACTTTAAACACGTTTTTATAAATTTTTTCACGATTATTGACATGCTATCTCAACTTCTACTTAACAGATTTCTTTGAAATTTTGATGAAAATCTTTGGTGTATATCGCTTTACGGCGCTTGTTTTAGACCGTATATGTGGACCCCAGTGCATGCGGCTGACTTTTGTCCAAAAAGATCGGTCAATCTGTGAGATATATTATTGAAAGTCGGGAAAATTTTCCTTGACAATAATATACTCTTGTGTCAAAAATGGGTTGAATTGGGTCAATACTTCCCTTAGCCCCCGTACACCTAATAATAAGATTTTCGAATTTCGAGTTGACTTTATGGCACATATAATACATTGGCTAATGTGGGAGTTACTTTTCTTATCTAAAAAATTAGTTCTCAAGTATTTCTGAATAATGTCAAAAATTAATGCAATCAGCCCCATTTCTCTGTCCCCAATATACTCTACATAATGATTTCCGACTTTTCACCTGACTTTAACCGTTTAGGTTGGTCAAATAGTCTGATATTTTAATAAAGTTACGTGGACACGTTTATTTAAAAGTTATAAAATTATGTTAATAGTTTGTCGCTCAATTTAAATAAAATTGATCTTGGTCTATACTTCATATCCCTAATATAGTGAATTTCGATCCTTTGCTTGACGTATTTCACATCAATTCAATATATTAAATTTAGCCTCTTCGGTAGAGTCTATATCACATATATGTAGCTCATTTGAGGATGACTAAAGCATAATTTTAGCTGACGGAAAGTAAGATATAGTAATAAAACTAAGCGAAGCTATGACCTTAAAAATAAGTTAATCTCATACCAAACATGATTGTAATCCATTCACAATTTCATCGCACAATGAAGTTGAACTCTTTCGCCCTCTCTCCGATTATGCCTGTATGCAATACCAACCCCACATGAGTGCCAAGGAACACTTGTAACGAGTTTCATCAAGATGTCTCAATTTTTACTCAAGTTATTGCTTGCACGGATAGACCCTCGGACGAACGGACGGACAGACAGTCACCCGGATTTCAACTCGTCTCCTTACCATGATCGTTTATATAAATATATAACTCTATATCTATCGAGATTAGCTTAAGGTGATACAAACAACCGTTAGGTGAAAGGAGGAGTATAAAAATTGATAGTAAAAATATTTTTAATTTTTTTTTAACTTAGTTTGGAAAATGCCTAAAATTTGGGGATCTAGACCAGAATACCTTAATATCAATCACTTCTAGAAAATTTCGTTTTCCACAAAGTATATGACTGTATGTGTTTGAATGAAGTTTTATTATAGCTTGTAAATGATCAAAGTCGAAGCACAATCTCTGATATCATCTGTCAGAGTTCTTAATATATGTCATCCTTTATATTCTGTAAATAGACTTGGACCTATTAACACATCAGAACACTCTATAGATTTGTATCCAAAATACACGCGCTACCCTGACTGACGGAAAGTTTAAATTAAAGTAAATTTTTTGATACAAAGTTTTCATATTTTCACTTCATAAATTGAGGCCAAAAGCAATTCAGCGACCCACGCTTATCTGGAATCGGAGCCTTTTTAAATAATTAATGAGCAAAATAAATTTCAGTATTAAACAAATTAAAAGAGAAATAGCAAAAATGTGGAAAGAGAAATTATTACAAGCACCACTTTCATAATAAAGCTTACTACATAGATATCTACAAACACATATACTCGTACATATACATATACATACATACATATGTACTGGTTTGCCAACGCATACAAACAAACTTTTCCTAAGTGCTCGCATTAATTTCGCCATTCACATTTTGCACACTTCATAAATCGGGCCAGATCAATGCAAGCGACTGCTGACTGTTGACTGACTCTTTGCCGGAGGAGCGCTCCTGCGACTCATGTCTCCTGCTGGTAATGGCATTACAAAGTTGCGTTGCCACAGAATTAACTGTTTGTTTGACTTGACTATCTGTGTGTTTGTATTTGTATTTGTATCTGCGATGTGATGAGATTATCATAATTAATTATGTTACCATGAAACCGATAATTAAGCTGATTGGTTTGCCTTTGGATAGCTTTTCACTCTGGGTGTGTTAGCAGCAATAAAGCTAATCTAATTACATAAATGCATTGTCGTGTTAGTAACATGTAAGCGGAAGTTATGAATATGGCATGTATCCAGTTAAGTGTTACAATATATATACGGGTATACCATATATGTGTGTTAATTAAGGGTCATAATTTAATTGAGTAAATTTTGCGGTTGTTGGTCGATATTGACTATGCTGTCATCAGATATCATATTTCAAAGCGGTGAAGTAGACATGCGACAATAAGTAAAGCTATGACATAATTTAAACTTTTATAAATTATGCCGCAGGGTTCGAAACACATTGAATATTCGCGAAATATTTATAGCTTCCTTTTACGCGTGACATTTGGAAAATAGCGAAACGAAGAAGCAACTGGCATACATCTAATAAAATGGCATAATTAAATAGGGATGGAAAACAAGCGCTTATAATGATTAAATTATATTTCCACATACTTCTTGGTACATACTAGTGGTACAGTTTAAATGGGTAACTTATTTGTTGCCTTCTCACCAAAGAGAACGCAGTGTTCAGAAATAATTAACAAAAGGGTTTTGAAGTGATAATTAATCATTATATTTGATGCGTTTAGATCTAAATTTCTATACCATATATGTCATCATCATTTCTTCTTTTTTTTTTTTGAGAATTCAAATTTTTCAAAGGAGTTTTTTTAATATTCTCCATAAACTTTCTCAAGATTAAGCCAATATCTTAGATCTCATATCAGGCAGACTATCTAGATTTAAAATAAGTTATTTAAAAAACCTTCGGTGATTTGCATCATTGGGTTCAGTAATTATAATTAACCTAAGCCCGTAAAAAATTTCTAACAGACCTTATCAATTATTATTTCAATAAAAAATTTTTTTTTTTAATTTTAAGCTGATTTTACCGTGAACAGGGTATATTAAGTTTGTCACTAAGTTTGTAACACCAGATAAAGACCTTTATATACGATTTAATGCTATAAGAAATCCACCTGTGAAGGGTATTCGTTATTGCAGCCGAAGTTAACGTTTCTGTTTAATTTTTAAAGAACTATCAATATTCTCACACAGCCACATCTACAGTGTTTCTACTCATACTATAATGAATAGTAGAAACAAAATGCTTCGAATTCAAGTATTTTGGCAAAAAATATGCTGCTGGCAGTACATAGAGTTTGGCTTTGATTTCTTCCAAAATCTTAATAACAGACAGACATTAATGTTGTTAGTTTGCCTTGATTATAGATATGTATCGTATATATAACATATACATATTCATAAGCAAATTGTAGTGGGTCCTTTCAAGTGCTTTGCGTATTGTCTGCCACAGACGCCCAATTGTTTTCCACACTCCTTCTTAACTGTCTTACAATCAAAACCCCACTACTTAATTTATCTCGCCGCTCTTTGTCTCCACTTCTACTTGTTTTTGGCATATCACATTATTACTGGTAACGAGATAATTGTATAATGAAATATAAACAACACCAGGCATCCAAAACAAGCAGCATCAACAACAACATAAAATGTTATTAGCAGCAGCTGCTGCAACGCCCTAAATGACTTTATTTTAGTCAAAGCCACTTGCCATCAACCTCCGCGCTCTTCCTCCTTTTCATGCTCGTTTGCTGAGCTGTCAGTTGGCGCATCCTTCATTTCATTCCATACTCAATGACTTGTCGTTTTCCGACTTCTAATTTATTTCTGCTATTGTTGTTGTTATTTTGCCGCTTGCCTTGCATTTTTTTTTTTTTGCTACTGTCAGGCGAACAAACATTAAACATTTATTTGGGGATGTGTTTGTGTGTGTGTGGTGAATGCCACTTGGCGCTTTGCTTTTCTGCTACTCATTTCCACACATACTTACACATGCGCATACACCTTCACACACACATACACGTATATATAAATGTATATGGAGTTGTTAAGTACGTTAAGTACGTGTGATGTTGCCGTTTTTGCTCTTTTCACTCACATGTAGAGTTGTTGTTTGTTTTTTACTTTTGTATGTTTTCTTGGCACTTTATGGTTGTTGCTCCAACTGAAAGTAGCTTGTCATGGCCGTTTGGTATACTTGAAATCTCACTTTTTTTTTGTATGTTTGCTACTTGACAGCTACTTGATTGACAGTACGAGTTAAGTGCATTAAGTGCCACCACACACACTATCCTGGAACACTGTCCTAGAACATTGTGGTTGCTGCTTACACAAGGAGTGAACATTTGATGAACCGTTTACAAAGGTGTATGGGTTGATTTTTAGTTCCCTTTTATACCACACCTAAATACCCCACACCGAAGTCAAAATGTGACTTTAGAACAAATTAAACCCGGACACAACTAATCTATTGTTCTCCGAAGACAAGACATAAAGCTAAAGATTAACAAACGGTACTCTATAATTAATCAATCATTTATTTTCTTAAGTCATCCGTTTTATACAAAAATTCAGCTAGCAACGCCGCTGTTCTGCCTGATCCAGTCCAAGAAGTAGGTGACGCGCACAAAACCAGCTGGAGCGCCAGATTGACAACCAGCACGGGATACAAACGAAGTAACACCGATGAGGACACCATCAGCAACCAATGGGCCACCAGAGTCACCGCTGCAAGTAGAGGTACCACTAGGCGTAGCAGTGCAAATGGTCTTCGAGGTAACGGTCAATGGACCGTAGGTTTTGGCGCAGACACTGTTGTCAATAACTTGCAATTGTGCGTATTGCAATTTTGAGTTAACAGCGATGGCAGAGTCGCTGATGAGCCCCCAGCCGGAGGCAATAGCATTGACGCCAGAGTAAGTGGAGTATGAGGAGGAGATCTTGGGTAATGCGATATTGGAAATGTAACGGCTGTACGATACAGATGGGATCTTAATCAACGAAATGTCATTGGCAAGGGTGAGCGAGTTGTAGCTCTTGTGTTGCACGAAATTTCTACTGTCAACTGTGTACGACAGCTTGGGGTTGGTACGTACTGTAGAGCCTAGATAAACAGTAACACCGGTGGCGCTATAAGTGAAATAAATGATACCTTAATAAATGAGTGCTAATAATATCAAAAATTAAACTTTTTACATACCCGCTTGTGCAGTGAGCAGCAGTCAAAACCCAGTTATTATCGATCAGAGAACCACCGCACCACCAACCGCCGCCTCTGCTGCTGAAGCTCAAACCAATCTGGTAGGCGAATTGACCCTCTGTGGCTTCTTTTCCATTGGTAATGCGACCCTGAATGCCTTCGGGTTGCGCCAGTATAGCTGCCAAATCACGTGGATGGACGGCTTGGTCAGATGGGGTGTCAAAACCCGCAGAGGCCGTAGCCACAAACAATGCCAAGGCAACGAACACTTTCATTTTGCTTAATTAAACAAATACTCTGATATTTTCGCAGTAATTCAAAGCTTATATACTCGCAAACTGCCCGGTAGCTTTCGTTGCGATCATTCACAAATATCAGTAGTCAGATAATACTCAAGTAGCTAAACTTCTCGTTACGCCAATAAGCTCTTTATGAATTACACATGCTATAAAAGGGTCATAAAATATGTCGTATGCTTGAGGTATGTCGCTATAAAACGATTTAGCAGACATAGGCATTATAGTATCGATAAGATAAAAACAACTTGAGAACTTATTTTCGAGCAATTTTATAAATATAAACGTATAGGGTATATGGAGCAAAGTCAGCCGAACGTTTGAAAATAGTGCATATCAGTTAGGATATGCCCCTTAGAGGGCTAAGGCAAGTTTTCCACCGATTTTATCAGTTTAAGGCACAAAAAACACTGTTATAAGAAAAACATTCCATTCGAAAATATGTGACTTCACCTAAATGTGGGCGGTGTCACGTCCATTGTCCAATTAATATAAAACCCTTTTGTGTCATCTTGAATGTAAAATTCAATGCCTCTGCCGCATTTCGTTATTGATTTATCGCAGTTTTAGTTGGTTTTTTAACAAAACCGTTGTATGGAGAGTGGGCGTGGTTATCACCCGATTTCATCTATTTTCATGTTGTCACAAGTGGTGTCGAAATGATATGTGCTGTGCAAATTTGAGTGATTTGAGTTTGGAAGATATATAGTTACAATAAACATATTTGGGCGCGGAACCACGCCCTCTTTTAAAAACATGTTCCAGCCACAGGTGCCTATAATTATATGTGGATTATTTGTACCCAATTACGGTTTTGTATCTTAATTTAAGGCTTAGTTATGGCATATTTATAAGTTTTCGATTAATTTTGTTTTGTGGGAGTGGCAGTGGTCTAATCCCATCTATGAACTCGTCCTCACTTTTTTGACAAGGAACACGTGTACCAAGTTATCAAGTATTATAATGATAATTTATAAATATATAACCGTATCATCATCAAATTAAACTGATAATCTTTGAGCATAAATCAAATGATTTGTTTATAAACACATTTCGCTTCGACTAATAGCGTTAGATGTTTATCAAAATCTTTATCAATATATTGGTATAGATTGACTGTTTTGATTTCTTTCGTATTCTTACTTCAAACAGTTGCGATAATAGAGTGCTATTGGTTACTCTTATTGTTGGTAGGTATCAATTAAATTATTAACCACTGCCATATAGATTGCAAAACTTTCTGACAATGAAAATTAATATTAAAAAAAATTAGCATTAGTTTATATATCTAGCAAATGCATAAAAATGTTTTCAATATTGATCCCATCTCAAGTCAAATAAATCTATACCAGGACAAAAGGGACGGCTAAGTTCGGGTATAACCTTGCGAGGTGCAAAGGCGTGGAAATATTTTCAGATATTGCCAAGTCTTTATGGATCGACTTCATTTTTAAATAGCTTTTAACCGAATTACGTTTAAACATACATATCCAGTTTAAAATATTTATCACATTTATTAACCAACGTTAGCGGTTTAAAGTCTACTAGACAGTCGGAAATCAGTTTATCGGGTTCATTGGGGATAAAGGTATACAGTGATTGCATTAACTTTTTGTATTATTTTAGTACAATACAATACATGTTCTCTAGATATTTCAACACGATTTTATGAAAATAACTGGCACACTGACCTACGTAGTATTAGGCACAAAGTCTGCTTTAATACGAAAATCATTATATATAGTATGTGGGAGCTGAGATAATTCGTAGACCGTTTCCAAACATTTTCGACATTATAATATAGTAAATACAATATTAAACGTTTACATAATTTTCCTTATACATCTTACATTTTTATAGGGTAAAACTGCAACTCTGGGGGCTTGAAAAATTTTAGTCGACTTCGATAACTTTTGAATATCATAGGTTTGTCCATTATTAACATTACTTTTATTAGGTTTTCGATTAAAGGAATTTTCTAACGATGAAAACGGTTCAACTACACACATCTGTAATATTCTCCGACATGTTACGAATATATAATATAAGTAATACCCCAGTACAAATCAAATAAATGCATAGAAAACTTAAACAAATTCAATATGAATATTCTTTGATTAAAAGTGTCACATTATTCGTTTTTAATCTGTAAATTTTCGAAGTAATTGTGACATACTCTCAGCGCAATAAAATAATTACCAACGCGCTTTTATCATTCAACATATTCGAGTGAAACTCCAAACGCGGTTTACCAGACATTTTGGCTTTCGCCGCTTATTTCCTCATCAACTGTCTAGCTCCACGATTTGTTATCATACTCGCTGAGTCGAGATTATCAAATTACACACAGAACTCTTTCAACTCAAATTGAGCTGAAAGAGAACAACAATATCATGCGGACATAACAAAATACTGAAACCCAAAGCGAAAGTTTCGCTTTATGTTGCAGTTAGAAAAATCAAGCGTCTATATACATATGTATATATATCCATATATAATTGCATAGTCAAATTCATATTAAAAAAAAAATGCAAAAATAAACAAAAAACCACTAGAGCTCTGAGTCATATTGCAAAATCAAAAATATTTGTTGGCTTGCAACCGCAACACGATGCCACATTGCAAGCACAAAAGTGAAATATGTGAAAGTCCAACCACAAATCGTTGTTGAAAGTGGCAAACTTTGTTGAGCAAACAAATCAGCAATACTCGTAGTTACTGCTGACTGATGGAACAAAGACAAGTGCAACCAACAAATAAACCACTCAACTAACCAACAGCAATCAACTTTGTTGTCTCACCCAACAACCGACGAGTCAAGCAAGCAGACAGTCTTCCGTACAGTTGACGGCAACAGGCAATTCGTTTTGCACGAAAACAAATCAAATCCCGTTACTTCGATTGATTATTGCCACCATCGTTGGATAGTGTAATAGTGTATATACATATATACCATATTTATACTCACATATACGTATACTGCTTGAAATTAGTGAAATAATTGAGTCATATTTGTCCTGGCACTCGCTTTGACTTAAGGGGTTATATCCACTTGCAAGTCAGAAAAACCGCGATTTTTGTGAAATTTTTTTTGAGCGGCATTTTATTTTCTAAACTAATAAAAAATTGGAACTTATAAAATTTTATGTACTTTAGTAATCAGCGCATTATTTTGAATGTGTTTTGATTCAATTGTTCCCGTAGGCAGTCTCCAAGTGGACCTCCGAAAGAAGGTGGCTAGCGATGAGGAAGATTTGTCTGGAGTGGATTTGAAAATCGAATTTATAAAAAAAAAATTTACTTCTCTATTAGCCATATTTTTCCCACCGGCTCTGAAAATATCGTTTCGAAAAAACATCTTAAAGTTTTGGTGGCGTACTACACAAAGTTAAAGAACTTACAAATATGCTCATATTTCGGAAACTATTTGCCGGAATCCAAGGATTGGTTCAAATATATGTAAATAGTGTTTTCCAATAAAAGTGATATGATTTAAAAAAAAAAACCCACCAATTGTTAAAGAAATGCAAATGTTTTTTTATTCAATGTCAAGTACAATCGATACAATTAAGTTCTGATTATAATTGTATCATCAATCAAATGACCCCCACGACTTCTTTTGCATTCGATGAACACAATTTTCGAGCACTTCTTCCACTAAATCAATTCGTATGTTAGGAATAGCACGTTCAACATTGACCTTTAAAGCTTGAAGAGAGTCTGGTTTATTGCTAAAGACGAATGACTTCAAATCTCATGGTCATATTTTTCTTGCAATAATTCGGTTGTTGCATGTGCTGTGTTGCAGGTAGCCCCGTCTTGTTGGAACCAGATGTTGTCGAGATCAATTTCCGCCAATTGCGATCATACAAAGTTGGTTATCATCGATGTATACTTCTCTCTATTGACAGTAACGGTGTCACCTGCTTCATTTCGAAAGAAGTACGGACCGATGATTCAACCAGACCCAAAACCACACCAAGCTGTTAATTTAGTTGAACGTAATGGTTGTTCATGAAAAATTTTTCTTGGATTTTCTTCGCACCAGAATCGACAGTTTTGCTTATTTACAGCACCCACTCACCATAACCATAACGACCGTAAATTGGCAAAAGCGCACGAAAAGTTGCAATAGGAGAACGATTATTTTTATAATAAAATTGATTAATTTGAAAATAAATATTGGAAAACCCGATATCTCAAAAAAATTTATAAAATTTTTTTTTAATGAAATTCACAAGTGCCCACGTTTCCTCAACTCTAACTTTTTTAGGAAACTTAAATACTTTTGGATTTTATCGATTCTATAAGCCTTTAAAATTTAGTGATAGATGTTTACATTAATGGTAAGCAATTAAGTGGAATACATTTGCATAAAAATATTTTTAAAAACATTTTTTGAGAGAGATTTTGCGATAATGAATTATCTACCAAATTAAACAAAAATATCATTTTACTACATATTTTTCATGCACCTAAAAAAGCATCCAACACAGCAAATAAATTGATTCGCAACACCACACATTCAAAAAGCAACATTTTGAATTGAAACACCATTAAACGAACATCTACCTATAGTATTATATATGCTATAACTTTTCTTGCGCATCCGGTTTCATGCTTTTTGTTAACTCATATTCTATTACGCCTCCTGCCAATGCTTAATAGCGCGCCACTTTTTCTCTCATAACGCTTTCACCCACCGCATTCTATTTATTCTGTTCCATTTAAGTTAAGCTGTATTTCCATTTGCAAAAAGTCGCACCACAGCAAGCTGTTGGCTTCCGCTCTGCTCTGTCGCCTTTAACCTCTGACGCATTGTTGTTGCACCATTATGTATGTAAATTCACTTGTGTCACAAACGCTCACTTCCTGCGTGTTGACACACTTGTGGCTTTTTCAAGCGGCCCACACGGCCGCCTGTTGTGCCGCTAACCAACTATTCCGCTATGATTTGCTGCTGCTGCTTTGTTTTCCACACTCTTCGCCAGCGTTTATGCATG